GGGACAAGGTACTTTCTTAATCTACTTTCCTTTGTTATTAATACAAATCAATTAACATTTATGCAGAAAAAATGGCAAGAGTGATGTTTCTCAATGGTTTTGCCCATTGTTCTATACAGTACCGTTTGCACCTCTTTTCCTGCCAAGTACGCTTTCATATGCCATAAGTAGGATTGTGTTCACTGTTCCTGGGGCTCTTTCTCTGCCCATGCCCCTCTTTTCTGTTTGTAAAATGCTTTCCAGATTGGGAAATATTGAGTCTATTGGTCAAAACACAACTGGGTGTGTATGCTTAGCAGGAATAATCAGTTTTCCATCTTCTGTTAATTAAGAGGACTTCCCTCCTAAGCTACCGCTCTTCCAGCTTGAGTGCCTGCTAGAATCAGTTCTGGATCCTCCACTGGTCCTCTACTACGACTCCAGTTTTCCCAGTAAATGCTTCTCAGAAGAGGAGGATCATCTTTCCCCACAGCTCCCACTTTTTCCATATTGAATGTGAAAGCTGAATGTGGCTTCATCCATCTCTGCTATATTCCCATTTCCTACTGAAATTAAAATCATCCCATAATTCAGGAGGAAAGATATTAGAACATTCTCTGTGCTTACTCTGACACTGTCCTTACCTTTGAGGGTCATCTTTTGCAGTGACACCTAAATGTGGAGATATAGTAAACTATAGAAATGGAAATGTTTTGTATTGTGATAGGGGAAATGGAATTCATTTTATAATTATTTTCTTAGGGTTTTTTTTTCCCTTTTCAAAAAGCCCCCTTTTCAGCACACTTTTAAAATGTGTTGTGTTGAAACAAATTGTTTGATAACATTCCCCTGGAATGTGATGGAAAAGTGATATTCCTTCTATCTCTTCAGGGCATTTGCAGCTATAAGGCATATTTACATTTTTTCCCCCTGTTTTGCTTAATCAAATTAGGTTTTCTTGACTTCTTTGTTTCAGGAGTCACCTAAATGTGCTAGATAATTCAGTGGAAAAGTGTGGCTTAAACATATTATTTGTTGAGCTCAACATTACACAGAGAAGAGACTTAGATATTTTTGTATCATGCTTTCTTTGATTTCTTTGTTAGGATGACCAGAAAGCGGATTAGAGTTGCAGCCTCAGCATCTCTGGAGAAAAGATTGTACTTACACTTCTGAATTTGAGGTATGATACATTAACTGCTTTTTCATATGCTAAATGGATGATGATTAAACTAAGACAAGGTAATATTTGACGAATATGAAAGCAATATTTTATAGTGAAGAATAGTTCCTACGGGGAAATAATAGAAGCCTGCAGCTTGGGACACCTAAAACTGGTATGTTCATAGTCCTAAAAGGCTTATTCTTGCTATCTACTGTATACAGCTAGAGGATAAAGTAAGTCTTACATGCTTCCTTGAAACTTCATATTTTTTTCCAAAATCAGGAACAAAACCTTACCTATCTACTAAAGAAGATCGTCCAATGAAAGAAGGTGATAAATAGATAGCCAGGTTAACTATCCAGGCTGACTGTTGAAGTGTGTTCCTTTGGGGAAATCTCTCTCCAAGTGAAAAAACTTTGTTCTTATTAACAATATGGATGCAATTGGCTTCATCCCTTAGTAGAGGAACCTGAGCTCAAACGTGAACACTGCTACCAAAGTCAAACATATAAACAGCCTAAGGTGGTCTATAATATTTTGTGGCAGGAAAAAGAAGGTTTGAAGAGATTTTTTTTTTTCATTTTCTGCCTTAAGCAAATGTGTATTCACATATACACACAAAATTACACATTGCAAGTTCTTATTATGTGTCTTATCTTTCACACCGCTAAAATACATGGATTTTTAATTTCGAAACATGACTACAAATGTGACAGCAAGTAAATTACTTTTTAAATATGAAACCAGAGTTTCATAATTTCAGAAAAAGGATATGAAGGTTAGAAACATGTTTCAACTGTAAATCCATCTATTTCTTCAGGAAATTATTTGGGTAAACTGAGAAGAGGTGGTTTGAAGGATCTGCCAGTGAAGGAGGCAATATCTAAGCAGCAAGGGTGTTCTTCTACAAAGAACAGGCAATTTAATCACCTTTGTAATGAATGTAATGACTAAACATTAGAGTAGATTGCTGAGGAAGATCATGGCATCTCCATTGTTGTTTTTAAAGAAAGGAATATTAGAAAAATATCCATCAAGAATGGCTCAGATGAGGCCTTGATGTACAGGGTTAGACTGTTGATTTATGAGCTTTTTTTCTGGCTCAATTTTGCCTCCTCTGAAAGAACAGGTAGATTTTTTAAGAGATGGTTCTGAGAGAATGGCAAACTTCTGTGGTCGCTTCAGTAAGTACTGGCAATGACAGAAGAAAATGAATGTTGTCAGACACCTAAAACAATCAATGAGACTAAGACTGGGGACTGTGGTTTGCAAACCCAACAGTGTTCTGTTGAGTGGAAGATGGACATAGTCGGACTGTGAGGCTGAAGAAAGATAGGCCTCAGAAAGGATCTTTCTTGGAGAGGGGCATTTTACAAGAGCATACAGTTATAGGACAGGGAGCAATGGATTTAAGCTGAAAGAGGGGAGGTTTTGATTAGATAATAGGAAGAAATTCTTTACTGTGAGGGTGGTGAGACACTGGAACAGGTTGCCCAGAATTGTGGATGCCCCACCCCTGGAAGTGTTTGAGACCAGGTTGGCTGGTGCTCTGAATAACCTGGTCTAGCTGAAGGTGTCCCTGCCCATGGCAGGGGGTTTAGACCGAGGTGATCTTTAAAGACCCTTCCAACCCAAACCATTCCATGATTCTTGCAGAAATGTCTGCAAAACCCTTGTTTTGCTGCAGGGTAGCAGGGAGAACAGGGAACAGAACTGCAGCTTTGCACAGGGTATATGCCTGCTACCTTCCAGCTACCACGGTGCTGCTGGTGCCTGAACTCTATGCATGTACTCTGATCTAGCTGCTCACCACAGCTCTCTTGAGCCCTGTCCAGGACTTAGGCCAAACAGTTTCACACACCACCAGAGGACAAGAGCAATCATCCTGGTGGTCCCCAGAAGTGACTATCTCCCTCACTAACAGGGAGCAAGATGCAACAGTGTTGAGACTTTTCCTAGCTTGGCTCTTCATCACAGACATGAAAGGTGCCTTCCTTTTCTCACTGAAAACATTTCCTTCAGTCTGTGACAGAGATGTGGGTGCAAACTGTGAGTGGGTCTTCTCACAAAGATTTTTGACAGGTGTCCTCAAATTTTGTTTTGGTTTCCTTGAGTCTAGAGGAATAGCATTTTCTACTAGACTTTAATTTCAGTGAACCTGCTCACTGGATTTAACAGGAGGAGGGCTTTCCTCACCCTCTTGGAAGCTGAGCAAAGACAGTATTTAGGGAAAAGAGGTGAAGAGACAAAGCACCTGAATGACCATCAGGCTGTCAATCTGGAACACAGAGCTGCTCATCACATGCATCTCTGCTGGTTTAGAGATGCCTCATACTGCATCTATTAAAAAAGGTGATAATCCAGGAATGACCATTCACAACTTAAACATACCTGCTGGAATGGGATGCAAAGTGTTCTCTACCCTTTTCATATTTGTTATAGAACAGACATTGGATTTCTACTGGTTCGGAGCTACAAACCTTTAATGAACCACTTAAAGTGCATGAGGATGAGTGGTTTCCCTTTGGCATAGAGAACCAACCTTTCCTGAAGAGCTGGGAGAGGCAAGATAATTGGGAGAGAAAATGGGGTAGTACCTTGTACTTAAGTGCACTGTGTCCTGTGGAATATAGGGCACGTTAGCAATATCTTTCCTGAAACCAAAGATGCATATTTAGCGCATTGGATTCACATTTTTGTTCTCTGCCAAACAAAGGTGATACTACTGGAATTCTGATTAAGTCTAATGAGGGAAAGTGTAATGTATTCATTCCTTCTACTCTGGCTTCTTGAACAGATTAGCTGCAAAATTTGCCCTCCTTGATGCTCACAAAACATAAACACAGTTAGAAGGAAATTATAATACTACTTGATGTAAACCTAGTGCTTAATTTTTTAATCTTTAAATAATAGATGTTAATGCATCAATAGCAAATTAAGAAGATGACATCTTCGCTTATTTATATTAGTGGTTAATAATCAGTAGATTAACACTGCTGCATACCAAGAGCAGGTTTATACATGGACAGTAGGAGGTGATAACATCCTATTCAACCAAGATGTCTTTGAGTCTACCACAGGATTATGTGACAGAATCATATGATTCCTAAAGGAACTAGCAGACAGAAATCTTAGTTTAGACAAAATTTTGTACAGAAATGTAGTAAAAAATAGAGAAAACAAACATGTGAACATTTTAAGAGAATATTTTAATTTGCAATTATTTTTGTGTCTATACATAGTATGATTTTCAAAGTTTATGAATACATGCCTTGCATATACTACACCTATACTTGCATAAACATTCAGATAGGTTAGAGATAGCCATTATCACTTGTTAGGATAACTTAATTAAACTTGCTTATTAAAACCCTTTAATTCGTTAGTGATAAAATCTTGATTAGTACATTTTCCTGCTAGGTGACCTTCTAATGTAATAGAAAACGAATTTTTAAATGGAGAAAAATGCCTGTGGCAGAGATTTTGTGCAAGTGAATAGAGTTTGTAATACACATAGGGATATAATCGAGCCTAATTAGTGAGGGTGCAAATGAATTTTTATTTCATACACCAGAAGTGTCATTGATGAACCATGGTTCAGAGTTTGATATGCATTCAGGCTGGCAGTATGGGACTGAAGTCTGTGGGAAAATCACAAGCTAATTCATTGATTGCCCCTTGGAAATTACTGCTGTTAATTGTTAGGTAATTAACATGGAGCTACAATTATACTGGCCTTAGGGGGTGATTAATGTTTCAACATGTCACATTAGCAGTGGCTGGATTTTAAAAGCTTTTCTTTTCACATGGTTTAGAGACAGATGGTATATTGTCTATGGAAAATTGTTTTCTTTTACTAAAGTTTATACCAGAACTAAGTGAATGTTCTTCTTGTGCTACAGCCTATTTTTATGTAGTTGAATTGTAAGCATCTTGGCGTGATGCACCTTAAGAAATAATGTGTTTTTTAAAAAAATTCCTCATTATACCAGCTATGAATGAATAAAATATCCATATTGAAATGACATTATTTCTGTTCTTACTTTATTATGTAGAAAATAAAAAATAGATAATGTAAGATTAGACCACTTCATGGCAGCTATTATATTATTTAGCACTGATACAGGAAAAAGAATTGCACAATACAATACTTATTACAATCAATATAATTTAAGCAGAAACCAAATAAAACATGTTGAACAAATGCATTTAGTAACAGTAATAAACAGTATATTAATACCTCCACACTTCAATATCATGCTTTGCTCTCTGTTTAGATTTTTTTCTCTTCTTACTGTTCCAGGAGTCAGAATAAGACTGGCATGGACTTTTTAGAATCCTACTGTGTTCTGCTTTGTCTTTCAATATACAGAATTAAATCCTTAAAGTTTTCCTTCAAAGACATTATTGTCTGTGTTAGGAGGATTGTTAATGTATCCTGGGATGACTAATAATATTTTCTCTTTTTTTTTTTCGCTCCAAATGCTGCTTCACTAGATAGACATTTTGCAAACTGGTAGGTTAATGGTATTCACTGTGTAAATATTTTCTTGGTAATATTCCTAAAACATGGCAAATGTACATTCCTGTTTGCAGTAGTTTTGAAAGCATTTCAATTCCTTCTCATTATTGGTAATGAGAGTAAGTCTGGTGAAGAGTTATGTTTAATGTCACACTTGGAATAGTTTCTGTAAATTTATAAGATTACTTTTTTTGTTTTTTATAGCCAATGAAGTCCCATAGTCCAAAAGATGTAATGGTAAGTGAAAAGATCAGTTTCTATGACAGCATCTATCTTTCTCTTGTTTCATTTTTTGTCTTCCTGTGATACTTCAAGTTGCAGTCTTTCTTAGTAGTCTCATACCGTGGTCTTTGTCATGGCTCCAGTCGCTTGCATTTGTATTGATTGGTACACTGCAACATATCACAGAAATATTCATTATTTTCAGCCATGTCTGCTAATAACTTAATTTCTGTTAAAGCATCTAAATCTGGAGGATAGGTTCCTACTTTAGAAATAGTCTTTTTAGAATAAAAACAAAATCTCCAAAAAACCTCCCAGAAAACCCAAAAACCAACCCCCCAGAAGTGTCGCAGAAAGACTTGCAAATTTTGTAAATATTCTTTTGTCTTTGTGATTTTACTTTCTACAGAATTGTATGAATTAAAAATTAATATGCTCCTAGGTTTAGTTTATATGATTTTTCTCATTTTCTTAGAGGATCCTGGGTGTTACCTAACCATGCAAAGTAGAAGTGACTGAACTGGAAGAGTTGGATTTTATGAAGAACTTAATGGAATGGAATGACTAAGAATAATTATACAGCAGGGGAATTATACAGCATTTGGTTAGTCATACAGGCCTTCACTTGAATGATCAGGAGCCAGAAAATCTCAGTACATGGCTACGTTTAACCAGAGATTCTGACCACTGCTTTTGAAGAGCAGTAGTAGTAAGCTGATACAATGCTTGGTCAGCATAACCCTTAAGCATATGGTTAGCTTTAAGCACATGAGTAGCTCTGTTGACATTAGAATTAAGTCTCTACTTACATGTTTTGTTAGATTAGGGTCATTGCCCTGGAAGGACTCGATAGGGGAAGAACACTCGAATTGGCAGCTTTATGAAATTACTCCTGGCCCCGTGTCTGTGGAATAGTACATTCATCTACCGAAAAACCTCAAATCAAAGTCTCTGTGCTCATATATCCTAGAACAGATCCTAATTTACACTAGGGCCATTTTGGACTTAGTATGTAAGAGATATGCAACTATTATTTATTCTTCCTTTAGGAACTGTCTGCATTGCCAGTGCATTAATAAGGGTGAGCATCAGATTCTACGTGATTATTTGATCACTAGTAAAAGTTTGAGGCCATAGCATTCCTCAAAAGTATGTTATACATATTTATGTTAGCTTATTAGATTATTGTCTTCTGAATTTCCATTTGATTTCTATTTATGGGGGAGGGGAAGTTTTGTGCTAGTTTCTATATTTTATGAAAGCACTGTCTGTACGACTAGTTTATTCTAAATTTAGGATTTTATGCTAGTTGGCTGTTACATAAATGCTAAGACCGTGGTGAAAAAATAGAAGGAAACTGCATAGGTTGATTTCTTTTCTTCCTTTTCTAAAGTGATTGTAACCATCCTACTACTAATAACAATACTTATTGGGAGATTATTTCAAGTCTCAGGATTTCCAGGTCTGACTCATAAATTCTAAAGGTTCTCTAGCCCATTTTACTTCTGAGGACACAATAAAGAAGTTGTCTGTCCCTTGCTAAGAAAAGGTCTCTGAAACAGTTCTGCCAGGGTTTGCAGAAGAAATTGCCTGAAAAGCTTGGATGTTTTATGGAAACGATGTATCGTGGTTTAAGAATGATATTCCCCAATTTAGTGTTTCCACTAAAACACTCCAAACTCTGTGCTGCTCTTTCACTTCCCCTAACCCCCTCTTCCTCGTATGGGGTAACGGAAAGGGGAATTGGAGGCACAAAAGATAAAGATCACAGGTTGAGATAAGAAGAATTTACTGGAAATAGCAATGAGATAAGAAAATGAACAGTAACAGCAAGAATACTAATAACAGAGTGTACAAGAAAAAAATGATTTGCATGTCACTGCTCATCCCTGACAACACCTGGCTGTTCCCTCCGTCATGCCAACTAGCCTGGAAGGGACCCCTTCCACCCCTAACCCTCCTAGCAATGATTTGAGGTGGTATAGAACAACCTCTGGGTCCTAGCCATGCCCCTCCTGGCTACTGCAAAAATTAACTCTCTTCTGGCCAGAACCAGGACAGGATGCTTGAGGAGAAAGCCACCAGGAATATGGAAAATATCTGAGGAATGGGCTTGTTTGAAGGAGAATGAGGACATGAAATAGAGGAATTTCCTCTTTCTTCGTCAAAATTTAAAGCATTTTCTATACTTTGCAGTAAGTTACCTCTCTCTCTCCCCTGTGGTTTTTTTTTCTAGCTGTTTTCTCATACTGAATTAGAAGACAGAATTGGAGGTGGATTAGTATGTGTAAAAAGTACCATGAAGACCATTGCACCTCTTGTTATATATGTGAATATGAATCTGGCACAGGATATAATGTTCTAGACGAATGGACCTCCTGATGGGAGCCTTCTGCAAAATATCTGTCCCTTTGAGTGAAGTTTATGGATACTTTTTGGCTCTTCTGCCATTGACTCTGCCAAGGTTCCATAGAAGGTTCCTTGTGTGAACAGACCAACTTTCGGTCATTCCCTTGTTCCTCCTCACCATATCACTCAGTGTGTTTGTTTTTCTATCAGTTACAAGAGCATATTCACCCCTCTCCCAGTGACATTGCAGGCAATTTGTGGGCAATATGTATGCATTCATATTTAAAATATTAATAATGATTGGAAAATTACTCTAGATCTCTAATGGTAAAAAAAAAAAAGAAAAAAGTAATAATACTCCCCTTTATACTTTTTCTGCAGATTTATACTTATGTAGGGGACACCTGTCTTAAAGAAAGATATATCTGACAGATATGACTAGAAGGTACATATCTCAATCAGAACACGCATTCAAAGATGTATGTTTATTTAGAAGAAAAAAAGAAGTTCAGGAAATACAGAAAAAGCGTGCATATGGAAAGTTAAAGACATGAAAGCTGCTTCCTTTCTGAAATTTCACACCAGTCAGCTGCTTAGTTTCTAGGGAGAATATTGGGATGTATACTTATTTTAAGCCCATGTGAGAACACATTCCACTGTTGGAACCACTACCAAGAACCTCCATATCTGTATGTGCCTATGCTTGTATGCATAAGAATCAAATTTCAATCCAATTACTTCTGGAAGGAAAAATGTGAAGGTTTATCAAACAAAAAAAACCCTTGAAAATGAAAGTACTGTCAAGGTTGGTCAATTTTTAGGAAAAGTAACTTTTAAAATCCTTTATTTGACCTCTTTTCATGTTTTTCCACTGATTTGTTTGCAGTCTTCTCTCCTAAATAAGTCTTTACTTTTCTGGACAGCCATCCAGAAATTAAATACTCCTTCTTGTTTTTACTTTTTAACTATTTCTTCTGATCCTTCACTTCATTTCCTAGTCATGTAGTTGGCAATATACCTGTATTTCTTACTGGTCTAATGACCACAACGGGCTCCTCACAGCTTTCCTCGTAATTTTATCTTTTTTGTCATTGACTGTGTAAATCTGTTTCTGTCACAGGTGAACTGACTTCAGTCCTGCTCTTTGAAAGCTTACTCAAAGCTGGCTGGCTTTGCATCATCCTATGGAGTTCCAGTCTAAAATCGCTCACTTTCTGCATTCTCGTGCTCACAGTTCAAACTTCACAGTATCTTGGTCTTATGACAAAGCAAAATAATTTGTCTCTCTGCTTTTGCAACTGTACCTATTTTCGATTAATTTATTTTTTGTTTAGTTTGTGGGGGTTTTTTTCCCACTTTGCTGATGATTGCTAATATTACTCCATGGAGGTGGCTATGTATATATCTTGATCAGGTTATCTGAATGCTTAGAGGTGAGCTGACATATTGGTTCCTGGTTGAATCCAGCATCCAAAGAGGCTAATTTTCTAGGGGGCTGCTATAGATATTTCATTCACTCTTGCCAAGTATCTCTGCTTTCTGCATATTCATCTGTACTCCCGCAAGAATTCTCATAAATTTTGTCATTATCACTCTGAGTAACTTCAGTTTACTGCATGTAATTTAAGTGTTTAAAGCCATTTGTCCAGGTATGTGGCCCCTAAAGAAATCTACAGAGAAATGGAGTGCTCCAAATCAGCTGGTCTACAGTGCTCTGTCTAGGCAGAGTGTTTCTTCATATAACTCACACACTGACTGTTCCAACAAAGTTGTGCTAGTCAAACTAGGCAAAACTCACTTAACTCTTTTCTGCGGCAAGTTTTATACCCAGCATGTGCACAATGACCTAATTTAAAGTACTGGATATTCAATGTCTTTTTAGGGAGACATACAACATTCTTTGCTAACATCTGCTGCACAGTAACAGCTCTTCATCAAGTTTTATGTGACAGGATTTGACTCTCTTTTCATGAGCAGAAAACTTGTATATTTAAATTTGTTTGAGACCCAGGGGCCACTCACTTTGTTCGATTTTCTAATATTCATTACTACCAGTTGAACAGCACCAGTGAAAAACCTTACCAGGCCCTCCTCATAGTGGCAAACAATAGAAAAATCCTTGAATTATTTCCAGAAAGTCCTAGAACCTTATGATAACAGAAAGGTGAGGAAATAATGTCAAATTTCTATACAAGCTGAGACAAGATGACAATATATATATTGTATATGTAGTGCAGTACAGTAAGAAAGTAATCTTTACTCTCTCTCTCTATTAATCTTCTACAGCCTTCAAAGATTTTAATTTCAGTCCTTCAAACAAATGGCATTCAGCCACACTTGGTTTTTAAATGTGCCTTTCTACACTAAGTGCAACATCTGGCATTCCCAAAATCTTTTTCACAATTTCATGTACATTTAAAATGTTATTCTATAATCATTTTGTTTTTAAAAAGGATTTTAATATGGTCTAGTTCTAAAAAAATTAAGAATAAATCAAAATATGTAGTAGGGATTAATACAAATGTGTATTAGAAGAGCAAAGAAATCACTGAGACAAGACTAATCATCATTTAGATTATCAGTAGAAGATGATTAAAAAACAAAGGATTGTATGACAAGTTATGTTGATGCCATGTTCGTGTAGCCAAATGTTTCAGCTTTATAAATGAAAAAGCCTAAGCAGCTTACAGTGAGACAAAGTAATCATTCAAATTACAAACTTAAGAATTTCAAATTACATACTTCATCAAGTTGAGTCTATTGTAACTTAAAATACACAGGGAATGATTCACTCTATTTGAAATACAGCATGTAATATTTC